AATTATGGTTTATATAAGAAAACCAAAATAATGCTAGATTTTCCCATTGTAAGATACTGAGTTTATACCTAAATATAATGGTCACCATGTCTCTCCATGTGATAATTTAAGTCCCTTGCTGAAGCAAGGCCAGTGCCTCCGAAGTACTTTTGAAATGACTCTAAGTAGGTAGCTTTCTTGCTATCTAGTAGGACAAAATGTATCATAGGCTCATTCTTGCTTGCTTTCTTCTTCAGACCTTAATCTTCTGTTTCTTCAAGAAGGAATGGTTTCTTATAGTGGCAAATTGAATTTAAAGACGACAACATGAGCACTAGGGATGCAGTTGTTACTGGGTGGGATAGTATATTTAGGGCTTTCAGTGAATATAGCTAAGGAGTTATATATATTATATATATGAAATTAAAATTATATATAAATTATATATAGGCATGTACATGCATATGTGTACATGTATATATAGGCATGAGTAAATATTATGCATATAGAAAATATTTATTTAAAGATAAAATTCCCTATATAGTCATTCAGATATCCCCCTCCTTTTTGGTGGGGAGTGCTAGGGATTGAACTAGGGTCTCATACCTGCTAAATTTGTGTTCTACCACTCAGCCATACCCCAAGTCCTCCATAAATATTTTTGATTCAAATTCAGCATTACATGGTTTTTATCTGAAAAGTCCTTCTGTATTACATCTGTATATTTCTCTTCCATTGTAAAAATCTAGATTCTCAAGGACACAGAAGGTGGTAGAAATGGAATATCCCATAATTATTCAGTTACTTTATGCCATTAGAATTCAGTGCCTTGATGCCTCAGATTAACCATACTAGTACTACCACCACCATCACCATTGTTTGTTTATTTTTGGTACTGGATATTGAACCTAAAGTGCTTAAGCACTGAGATACATCTCCAGCCCCTTTTATTTTTTATTTTGAGACAGGGTTTCATTAAGTTGCGTAGAGCCTTGCTAATTGCCAAGAGTGGCCTTGAACTTGTGATCCTCTTGCCTCAGCCTCCTGAGACACTGGGATTGTGGGTGTGTGCCACTGTGCCCAGCAGTTAAATTAATTTTTGCATCTATTCTCCTTTTCCCTTCATTCTCTTTTTTAAAAATTTTTAAAAATATTTTTTAGTTATACATGGGCACAATATCTTTATTTTATTTATTTTTATGTGATTCTGAGGATTGAACCCAGTGCCTCACATGTGAGAGGCAAGTGCTCTACCACTGAGCCACAACCCCAACCCACTCCCCTCATTCTCTTAAAAAAAAACAACATTCTTGTGTATTACAATGTACATCATAGTGGAATTCTTTACCATGTTTGTACTTGTACAAAGCATGGTTTGATCAGTCTAATTCCCCAGTACCTTCCTTTCCCCCTCGTTCTTTAATAGTTATACTATGAACTGTCAGGGTACACAAACAGTGTACCCCTCCTCTCCCCTTCCCTCCCCTCCCCTCCCCTTCCCTTTCTTCCTTCTTTCCTTCCTTCCTTCTATCCTTCCTTCCTCCCTCCCTCCTTCCTCCCTTCCTCCCTCCCCCTCTTTAGCAGTGCTGGAGATTGAACCCAGCACTGCTAGGCAAACACTCGACCACTGAACTACATCCCCGGTCCCACCCGCTTCTCTTTGTTTTGAGTCTTCATTTACTTTTTAGTTGTTCTTTACACTACATGTGTAGACTTTATAATCAGTCCTTACGTTGAAGACAAACTCTTTGTAGTTGTTTTGGTTGTCTGAAGCTATTTTAGAAGATTGTTTCAGAAGGACTCAAGATAATAATCTCTGAATTTTTCTATGTAAGAGTTTGTGGCTTTTATAAAATTTTGACTAAACAGAAATGTTTGTCAGATTTTCTTTCTTAGTATCATCAGTACATTCTTCCATTTTCATTTTTCTGGTATGTGCTTTACCACTGAGCTATATTCCCAGCCCTTTTTATTTTTTTATTTTGAAACAGGATCTTGCTAAGTTGCCAAGCCTGGCTTTGAACTTGGGATCCTCCTGACTCAGCCTCCCAAGTAGCTGGGATTACAGGCATGTACCACTACACCCCTAACCTTTTTTGTTCTCTCTGTGGTTAAAGACAGCTTTGTTTTTTTACTTATCTGATGTGTTTGGTCACACTTATAAAATTCCTTCTAATTTAGTCTTTATGTCTGAAGTGATTTTTTTTTCTTTAATTTCTCATCTTTTCCATGAGTCTTTTATCTCATTTCTGAAAATCTCCTTTCCAATTGTGCTATTTTATATTTCATATCATTTTCTTAGTGTCTTTTAGCTCATTTTGAAAAAGTAATATAGTTTTTAAAATCTGTTTTTCTGGTCTTCATTTCTTGTAGGAGTTGTTTTCTGCTCATTTTTCTTTTTTGTCTCCAAAGCTGTATATGTCATTTGAAGCTTAGTTGTTTATTTTTTTGTGAAATTAGTTTTTCTGAACATGTAGAAGTAGTCTTGGTTAAATATAATATTTCCAACTTCTTAGGGCTTCCTTTTCTGTTATTTTTAGTGTGGTAGTTAACAAACATGGAAACTTGATTTCTGAAATTTCCTTTGTTCCCCTTTGTTTTTCTTCCTTTGTCTCATACTTCTGTATAAATTTGATTCTCTTTACAGTAATTTCTCCTTGGTTTGGGCCGCTTTCCTGACTTCTTCAGTTTGTAAGTTTTAGATAGAGACTAAACTGTTTATTCCCTTCTTTTTTGGGGGGGTTGAACTCAGGGACATTCAACCACTGAGCTATATCTTCAGTTCTATTTTATATTTTGTTTAGAGTCAGGGTCTCATTGAGGTGCTTAGTGCCTCATGGTTGCTGAGGCGGGCTTTGAACTTGCGATTCTCCTGCCTCAGCCTCCCAAGCGACTGGGATTACAGGCATGCACCACTGTGCCTAGCAGTTCATTCCCTTTTAAATCTTTTGTAGGTCTCTTCCATTCACGAATCCACCATTGGATCTGGCATTTTCAACTGCAGTGCTCAAATTGGTTCTCTGTTACTTCTCAGTGAATACCTGTTGGCTCTTTTGCATCCATCACATACTCTGTTGTTTGTCTCTGCTTCTGCTTTAACTGAAGTTGAAACCGCAGAGATCTTACAGATATCACTGGCTGGTTCCCATCCACTTAAATTTTGGAGATGACTAGACAGCACTTAGTTTTGCTGTAAATGTTCTTTCTTTCTAATTTGCTCTGTTTGAGGATATTTGTAGAGATTCCAGAGCTTCATAGAATCTTTTTGCTATTTAAAAAATGAGTTTGAGCAAAATAAATATATTTTGATGGCATATTAAATCATAGATGTGCTTGGGTTACTAGTTAGATAATGAATGACTAAAAATATTGTGGCTGGAAAAAATTTTACCTGAGGAAGGGTAATTGGTGTTAATAATGATATATCAATGCATTTAAATATTTGTTGAGTATATGTTCTAAGGGATAAAAAATTCTCCCAAATTAATAAAACAACTATGTCTTGAAGGAAATTAATGCTTCATGTTTACTCTCCACCAGTGTATGTGATTAAAAGCTAAATTTTATGTTAGTAAACCTGCAATTGTGGAATTCAGGGGCTGTTTTCAACTCACTTTAGGAATTTGCACTGCCTATTTATTCTGCCTGTTTCTGATTTTGACTTGCTGCTTATCTCTCTTTGGAAAGATCTTGAAGAAATTGTGTTACTTGTGAAGGGCTCCATCTTCATAAGAAATTAACTAAAAAGGCATATGATCTTCATAGTTGGCTCTTTTCTTATGTTGAGATTGAAAGTTTTTTCAGTCTATATTGTCATTTGATTTTAGCCCTCTCCTATGAAAAGGCATTTGGTGTTGAATTGGATTAGAATTTATTAGTTGGCTGTTAGTTGCCTTCTGTGCTACATGATTTATTTCCTAAAATTATCTCTTTTTCTAAATATTTATTTTTAAGTTATAGGTGGAAATCATATCTTTATTTTATTTTTTTATTTGTGAGTAGTACCAAATTCTTTGCTTTTGTTCTTTATATTCTATAGATAAGCTTATTTTATTCTGTGAGATAGTTATTGAGCAGCATATTTAACATTTTGCCAAATAAAGCATGTGAAATATGTACTTGGACCAGTATTTTTTTTCTGCTATTTTTTCAGGCACTAAAGGTTGAAATGTAGGTGTACTGAGACCAATAGTAAATATATTTCCTTGTTTATAGATATACTAACAAAACAGCTTCCAGACTCAATTTTCAGAGTGATCAAAACTTATTTCTTTATGTGGGAAAAGAGAAGAAGCAACCAACCTAAAGGTAGGGTTAGAAGTTACATAGTGACATTTTAGTAGAGACTTTGGGGACATTTTTCAAATGATTCTCATCAGCAAGATTATATCTGCTGGGCTGGGGTTATAGCTCAGTTAGTAGAGAGCTTGCCTAGTACACATGAGGCATTTGGGTGCCATCCTCAGCACTGCGTAAAAATAAAATAAAATAAAGGTATTGTGTCCATCTACAACAACAACAACAACAAAATTTAAAAAAACGGTCAAATAGGAAAAAAAAAAAAGATTATATCTGCTGGTTCAGTTGATAGAGGTTTTAGAAAATTTTTGTTGAATAGGGCCTACAATTGAAATATTGGCTGAATTAGTGGGTGATTTAGCTTGTCAGATTTTTCTTTGAGTATACTTTTGTCTAAATATACTTATATATGTATTGAAGTATGACATTAAAATTATTTAGAATTTTTTTTTTTTTTTTTGCAGGAGAGGGGGGTGGGAGGGGCGGAGAGGTGGATACTGGGGACTTAACCCAGGGGCATCCTCAGCCTTTTTTTTCCTTTTTGTTTTTTTTGAGACAGGGTCTCATTAAGTTGCTTAGGGCCTTGCTAAGTTGCTGAGGCTGACCTTGAACTGGTGATCCTCCTCCTTAGCCTTCCGAGCCACTGGGATTACAGGCATGCACAATCATACCTGGCAGAAAATTAATTTTCTTTAAGGTATCTTTGTTTGATTTACTTTCAGGTTCATGCCTGGGAGATTTCTGATCAGTTGTTACAGATCCGGCAGGATGTGGAATCATGCTATTTTGCTGCACAGACCATGAAGATGAAGATTCAGACCTCATTTTATGAGCTCCCTACAGACTCTCATGCCTCCTTAAGGGACTCATTGCTAACCCATATCCAGAACTTGAAAGATTTATCACCTGTCATTGTAACGCAGGTAAATCCTGTGATTCTCATTAGGGAAATTTGTAAAGCCATTTGGATTGTCAAGTTTATTTTGATTATCATTGTTGAGCTGTGTGAGGTAATGTTAAATTTATTATAGGGGGTCTTGGTATAGTCTTATAAAAATGACAGTTTTAATCTTTTGCATTAGTCTTATAGTTCATTGGGTTTCAAACTTTTAAATACTAGAAGTGGGGAAGGAGAATGTATTTTCACAGACATTCGTGTGCTACATGCTGTTAAAAATTTGCAGATGATTAAAAAAAGAAAAACAAAACTCTGTACTATGCTGGGTCTGAGATCTACAGGGTTATTACCTTTTTAAAAGATCCTTTCTGGGCTGGTTGGCTAGTAAAAGTCTCTCATGAATAAAATGAGCATTTGGTCTTCCCCCCCCCCCGTCCTTTAAACAGGGAAATATATTAGAAAGAAAAACTGAAAGCTTCTGTAAATACATGCTCCCAAGTTTTCTCTGCCTGGTGTAAAAGGAGATTTTTTGCCTAAGGCCTCAAGATGAGAAATGGAAAGAGAAGGGAAATGGCAATCTATTACTTGAGGACTCAGTCAAATGTCTGACTTTTGTCAGTAGCTTTGGCCTTTTGGGAAAGTGTAATTTATTTGTCTATGAAGTTCTGTGGTATTGCCAAATAAAAGTAAGTATTAATATATTGTAAGGAAAAAAATCTATAGCTTATATTTTTTACTTTTGTTGTTTTTGTGTAGTCTTATTTTTAATTTTAAACTTTATTTATTACGGTGCTGGGGATTTAACCCAGAACCACATGCTTGGCAAGCATTGTACCTCAGAGCCACAACTCCAGCTCATGTTATTAACTTTTAAAGGCTAATCTTTAATTTCAGGAATTTTCAGCTAGGCTGGAGAAGCAAATATACTTACACACACACACACACACACACACGTACATATATGCATTATATTATATACGTATGTGTGTATGTGTGTGTGTTTTTTTTTTTTTGTTTGGGATGGGGAAGAAGGAAGGTGTCAGTCTTGTCATATTGTCTGGAAGAAAAAATTCAGTCATTGTTTTCCAGTTAACATTAATGGTAACCCTGTTTCTATTTGTTGTTTTTAATCTCTTCTTTAGCTGGCTTTAGCAATAGCAGATCTCGCTCTACAGATGCCTTCTTGGAAGGGTTGTGTACAAACATTGGTGGAAAAGTAAGTAATTTGTATTGACAGCATATTAGCATTAGGAATTATCATTAAGCTACACAGAGAAATTTGTTACTAGTAGGTAGAAATTTGATTATTTTCCTGAACTGTTACCATAGTTATATATTATTAATCTTTGTTAAATTGAAGAAAGTCATTTAAAATTTAATTACTACAGAAATAGATCATGTGGGATATAAAAGACCCTCATAATTTATATACATACCCTTTCTCTTTTTCTCCTTGAATCCACTGTAGCACATTCTTTCATTGCATTGTGGATTACTCCCAGTAATGGACTTATTAGCAGATTTGTAAAACTAGTTCAGTATTTATAGATTGTATTAAATTGAAGGTTGCTTTGAATATATATTGTTACTAATTGAGGTTTGTTTCATGTCTGTCAAGAGAGGCCATATTATTTTTAGATATGGAGCCTACTACTTTGGTGTTTTTTTTTTTTTTGGTACTAGGGATTGAACTCAGGGGTGCTTGAGCCACATCCCCAACCCTTTTTATTTTGTGAGACAGGGTCTTGCTAAGTTGCTTAGGGCCTCACTAAGCCTGCTATTTTGGATAAAACATTTCCTTATGTGCCCTGTCAAGATAATCTTTTTTTGGCAAGGATCAAACCTATTCCTTGCACATGCTAGGCAATCACTCTTTACACTGAGCTATATCCTCAGACACAATCTTGATATTTTCTTGCATTTGATTAGGGAATTATTTCTGAACAAAGTGTATAACCTTTTTTACCTTCAAAGAGAGTGCATCATGAAAGCCCTTACATGGATAATTTATTTTTTTAGGAAATTTTTTATAATGTGAAATAACATATGCTCCTTGAAAAAATTTATAACAGTATAGAAATTTTCAGAGCACAAATAAATCCTGTCCTATGTTTTATATAACCACAGTTAATGATTTATCATATAGCCCTTGGCATTTTAAAACAAATAAGTATGTATATATTTTAATATGGTCCTGTGTATTTGCTCAGCCATATTTACTATGTTTCATATGCTTTATTTGCTTAATACATGTGATCATCTTTTCATAAATGTATGTCACTTTCTTTGTTAATTGCTGAGTATGTTCTATTGTATGATTGTTAGTAATCCTTTTTATTCTATCTAATTTTGAAGGACATTTGTATACCCCCCTTTTTTGCAATTATAAACATGCTGTAGTACACATCTTTACATATTTATCTTTGCCTGTGTATGTGAAGATTTTCGTGAAACATAAATCACCAAAAGTGAATATGGAGAGTCAAAGATTATACAGCTTGAAATTTAAAAAAAAATTTTTTTTTTTAGGTTATTTTTTTAGGTGGACACAATATCTTTATTTTTATGTGGTGCTGAGGATCGAACCCATGGCCTCACTCATGCCAGGCGAGCGCACTACCACTTGAGCCTCATCCCCAACTGTACAGCTTGAAATTTTGATTGCAAGGTCTTTCTAGATAACCTTTCCAAAAGATAGTATCTTTTCTTTTTCCCTTAACAGTAACAGGAGTGCTGCTTTTCTTGTATGGTATGTTCTGATGGCTGTTATCTTTTGTGATTATATATATTCTGTCTTTCAATAACTTGTGATAAATCTTCCCCCTTTTCTTTTCCAGATATAGCAATGATGTAACTTCTCTGCCATTTTTGCTGGAGATTCTTACGGTGTTACCTGAAGAAGTTCATAGTCGTTCTTTACGAATTGGAGCTAACAGACGCACAGAAATTATAGAAGATTTGGCCTTCTACTCCAGTACAGTAGTATCTCTGTTGGTGAGTAAGTTTGGAATACCCAATTGTTGCTGAGGGACAGAAAACTGTAGTGGTTATTTTGGGATCCAATTGTACTTATTTATTTATTTTGAATTTTTTTTTTCTTTTGAAAATCTGGCAGTAATAGTACTTTGGCATTTATATAATACTTTCTAATTACAAAATACTTTCAGAAACCATACTTCTTGTAGGACATGATGGTGCATGCCTATAATCCCAGTGACTGGGTGGCTGAGGCTGGAAGATTTCAAGTTCGAGGCCAGCTTCAGCAATTTAGTGAGTCTGAGCAACTTAGCTAGACCTTTTCTCAACATAAAAAAATTTAAAAAGGACTGGGTATGTGGCTCAGTGGTTGTTTCCCTGGGTTCAATCCCTAGTATCAAAACAAACAAACAAACAAACAAAAAGAAACTACCTTTTGAGTTTATACATAATCCTGTGAGGATGATGATTCTGTGAATGAGAATTAACTTTAGAGTAATGCAATTGTTAATCAGAATTTGAACTCAGGCCTTCTGATTGTGTATCCCACATTCTGTAAGCTATGGGAGCTTTTGAGAAGGGACCATGCTTGGAAGTATGTATAAACTTACTTTACTAAGGAAAAGTTTCTCTGATAAAGACAAATTGAAATTTTGATAAGAAGGTAATAGAAGACTTTCCTTGATCTTTGAACAATGTTAAATGTGATTAGTTCCTTGTGATCACTTAGAATGTAAATGCTTTAGACCAGAGGTGGGTAAATTTATGTTTTGTGGGCTGACTGCCTATTTTTGCAAATACTGGAACACAGCTGGGGCCATTTAGTTACATATTGTCAATGTCCATTTTGTTGGTCTCTGTCAGTAGAATTGAGCAGTTTTCAGAAACCTTATGGCCTGCAAAGTCTAAAATATTTACTCTTTGGTCTTTTAGTGAACATGTCTACTGGTTCCTAAATTAGATGGTATTAAATCCGTTATCTAGCTCATATTTCATTTTTAGGTCTTTCAGATCTCGTTTGATTTTTCTCAATGATGTGGTTATAGGAGATATTTTTCAGGGATTTGTTTCAGTGCTTCTACAACATTATAGATCTTTTTGTTTGAAAAAACAATTTTGTTAAAAATTATGGTCAGGTTGATGTTAGAAATTTGTTGTGAAATTATTCTTTTAAGCTAAACATGTTTAATTTTCAATTGGCCACTTATTTTAAATAGGATTGTAGAAAATTAGTAAATATAGACAAGGCAATTACATTCAAATAATTTGGAGATCATAGCCTTTTTTTTTTAACTTTAAAAAATTTGTGCTAATTGGTTATACATGACAGTAGGCCTTCATTTATATTTATTTATTTGTTTGTTTTGTGAACCCAGAGCTTCATGCATATTCAGCCATATTTAGACAAGTGCTCTACCATTGAGCTGTTACCCTCAGCCCCCACACCCTTCCCCCGCTTTTTAAAACTGTGGTCCCAGGCTGTTTCCCAGGTTGTTCCTGAACTCCTGTTCAAGCTATTCTCCTGTATCCTTAGCCTCCCAAGGTATGCCACTGTGCCAACAACTATTAACCCTTTAAAACGTATCGTCTATGAACATTTGTATAGATTTTTCCCCCCTTTGGTGGTGCTGGGGATTGAACTCAGTGCCTTGTGCATGCGAGGCAAACAATCTACCAACTGAACTATATCCCCAGCCCTTGTATAGATTTTTTTTTTTTAAACCCCAAATGAGATTGTGTTCTACCTGCTCTTCTGTAACCTTTTTTTTTTTTTTCAGTCATTTAGATTCATCTTTACATTTCAGTAAATTCTCATATCATCTAATATGTTTCAGACCATGTTCAGATTTCCTCAGTTGATTCTAAATTTTTTTTTTTTTTTTTTTTTTTTTTTTTTTAGAGAGAGAGAGAGAATTTTTTAATATTTATTTTCTAGTTTTCGGTGGACACAACATCTTTGTATGTGGTGCTGAGGATTGAACCTGGGCCGCACGCATGCCAGGCGAGCGCACTACTGCGCCCCTAAAATTTTTTTTCAGTGAAGATTTTTCAAATCAGTGTCTGGTTTAGAAACATGTCTTCTTCACAAGACAGTCCCCCATCTTCTGTGTTTTTCAAAATAACATTTGGGGAAAAAATTGGACCAGCTTTTTTTTTTTTTATAGCATATCTTCTGCATTTTATGATTGCTTTGTTTGTTTAATTTAGCTTTTTTTTCTAGTACCTATTTCCTCTAATTGAAAGTTACATCTAAAGCATCTCTTCTCAATAGGGTTTCCTCAAAATAATTAAGTCCTAATACCCTGAGGAATCCATTGTGTGCAGTGAGTTTTCTACTCTTCATTAATAATGGTACTAACCATATACCACACTTAGAACAATTGAGAAAATAGTCACTCTGATCTTTTTTTTAGGGTTTAATTCTTTCCCAGGATACTAGTTGAGAAAACTGAGAAGGTGCAATGGGTTAGTTTAAGAAAGAATAGTTTTGTCTAGAATACATCATAGGTACTTCATGTTGCATCTTATTGACCACTAGATCAGGATGGTGATGGTCTGATTCTTCCACTTATAAAGTCTGCTTTTCCATCCCAGTGTGGTGGCTCAGGTTTATAATTCCAGTGATTCCAGAGGCTGAAGCAGAAGGATTTCAAGTTCAAAGCCAGCAACTTGATGAGGCCCTAAGCAACTTACTGAGAACCTGTGTCAAAAACAAAAAGGGCTGGGGACGTGGCTCAGTGGTAAAACACCTCTGGGTTCAGTCCCCAGTACCAAAAAAAAGTTTGCTTTTCCCATTGAAATATGATTGTAGCTTGTTAGAATGTCTAGATTTTTATCAGCCTTTTATATTTTAAATTTCTGTTGGTGAACTTTACTTAATAATTTCATTATGGTTTGCAAAATGATGTTTTACTAATTTTGTTATTCCTTCTATGTTGAGAGCCACAGCCGAAGGGGCCCCAGCAAACTTCCAGCTGCCAGCAAACTTCCAGCTGCCGGCTGATGATTGGCTCACAGCGGCCCCAGCAGCATCTAGCTGATTGGCTCCTCTGCGGTGATGCTCATTGGGCTGTTTCCCTGCCCTTTCAGACCACGGAGCTGCTCATTGGGGGACTTTTTTGGCTCCGCCCACGTGACCCAGCCAATCGGCCTCAAGAGCAGGAGGATTGTGGGAGGTGGAAAGAGGCTTGTGTTGGAGAGAGAGGCCTGTGGAAAGCCGGTGGTGGCAGTTGGGGCTCTGAGGGTTTTTCCTGAGAGGCTGTTTTGTTTGGCGTGTGTGGTTCTAAAAATAAAGTTCATTTTTTTTGACAAGTGGCTCCTGATTGTGCCCAGCCAGACTGCAGCATTTTGCCTAGCCGTCTCCTTGCAAAATTCCTCATTGGCAACCTTCCATAACAGGTATTGTCCTCCATTTAGCACAGCTTTACACATATTAGCCCAATCTGCTGGTGTCATGTTCAAGTTGTTAATGGATTCGACCATGCTTACAGTGAAGGGTGCTTGAGGACCGTAGGTTGTTACAGCCTCTTTTAGCTGCTTCACTGTTTTGAAATTTAAAACATGGTAAACTTGCTGCCCTCCTGCCTCAAATACAGGGCATGTTAATATTTGAGATCTTGTCTCAGGATCCCAACTATCAACTGCGGGGGTTGGGGGCCTCCCAGCATATGGAGGTGGCCTTGTTAGTTGGACACTTACGTCCTCTGGTGATAGAAAGGTGTTAGTAGCAGTCTCCTGTAGAGGTGGTGCTGTTGGTTGGACACTTACACCCTCTGGTGATAGAAAGGTGTTAGTAGCAGTCTCCTGTTGTAACTTTCCCCCTGATGGCTTTTTCTGTTTTACACTTTCTTTCTCTGACTAGCTTGAGAGGCCTTCTCTTTTACTTGAACTTTTTCCTCTGTCTAACTTGAGAGACCTTCTCTTTTACTTGAATCATTTCCTCTGTCTGACTAACTTGAGAGACCTTTTCTTTTACTTGAATCAATATGTCTTCTCCTTCCTCTACCATTGTCTGAACTGAAGGCTTTGGACTAAGCAAACAAGATACGAAAGTCCACAATGGCAATGTGCCAACTGGCAGGGTCCCTGGGCTTTTCTTTTCTATTCTTTTTAAATCTTCACCATGATGGTTCCATTGTGATATATTTAACAACTCCTCCTTAAAAAGCCATGGGCTATGTTTTTGTATTGTATCAACGTGTGCCCTGACTGCTCTTGATTTTACTGGGATGCCTCCTTCCTCTAACAATTTACTTAACACTCTTTCGGTTTGTTTTTTTACTAATTTCTGATCCCATATTTCTACTATAATACAACCCAACAAGATAACACCAAACAAAACCGAGATAGAATGAAATAAAAATGGAACAACAAAAAAATCAGTATAACCTTTCTCCCTATCTGTTCCTCAGACGCAAATAGTTCTTCCTCAGATGTGAGCGGTTTTTCTTATGTCTCACTCATCTCCAGGGACAGGCAACTTAAAACAAAAGTGAAGCAAAACAAAAGAGGAATCTTAAAATGGCTACCCATCCTCTCGCCCTGCCCTCAGGGGCGAGCAGTTTACCTTATCACTTACCCTCAGTTGCTCCCCGTGGGAGCCACCAAATGCCACAGTCTGGCTGGGCACAATCAGGAGCCACTTGTCAAAAGAAACGAACTTTATTTTTAGAACCACACACGCCAAACAAAACAGCCTCTCAGGAAAAACCCTCAGAGCCTCAACTGCCACCACTGGCTTTCCACAAGCCTCTCTCTCCAACACAAGCCTCTCTCCACCTCCCACAATCCTCCTGCTCTTGAGGCCGATTGGCTGGGTCACGTGGGCGGAGCCAAAAAAGTCCCCCAATGAGCAGCTCCGTGGTCTGAAAGGGCAGGGAAACAGCCCAATGAGCATCACCGCAGAGGAGCCAATCAGCTAGATGCTGCTGGGGCCGCTGTGAGCCAATCATCAGCCGGCAGCTGGAAGTTTGCTGGGGCCCCTTCGGCTGTGTCTCTCAACACTTCTACCCGTATAT